CTTGCCGCTATGAATATAAATCGGTATTGACGTGTAGATGTCTGCGGGGTGGGAGAGTTATCAAGCACGTAAAGTTTGTTTCAGATGTGAGCATGTACACTGAACAATAATGTACCCAAACTATAAAATAAATTCCTTTTATATTTCCCTGCCTTGTTGTTTATGTGTACATACAGAGGAAGAATGTGAGAACAGCACACATTTCATCGTTACTGTGTGTTAGAGCATGGGAGAACAGTGGATACTTTTAATACAGCCCACACCCCTAATACTGTGTAACTATAACAAGTAGAGAACAGAAGAAAAAGATGTTCTTTCTTTACAACTGTCTGCATAGCTTATTCATATTGTGTAATGAATGAAAATAAATAGGCCTACTAGGCTCCTCTCTACTTTGACATTTAAGATTAGCTTGTTTGATCCACCTTCATACACATGTGACATTACTGTACAACTTGAGAAAGGTGAGTTGTTTTCTGCTCCAGCCTGCCTAAAAGAAAAGCGTTTTTGGGATTAAATGGACTTTATTAGCTGCTGCAGTGCAGGATGAACTCAGAATAGACCCATTTTTTCAACTTATTATTCTAAATCATGCAACGAAGAAGAAGAAATGCATAATAAATCCTGGGACAAAATCTGTCCACAAATACTGTACAGCATGTAGTCTGATGAACAAGACTTGTGTTATAGCTGACTTGGGCAGTGAAATGTTTTTTTAATTCATGTGGTCATCGTTGTCCACAACTCAAATTAGAATATAAGAAGAAATGTTTTATACCACCTCAAGAAGGCTTCCTATCAGAAAGGTAGGAAGGTATTTCAAATGTACAACTGCAGTCCTGAAATCTAAGTAAAGTAATTTCCCTGACATTTTTGTGTTACTTTACTTTTAATAGACGCATGTAACAGGTTTTATACTTCCTGTGAGTATAATCCAATCAATCTTATTTTCATACTGTATATCCGATGTGTAATTTGATAAATTGTGTTGTATGTCATGCTCACATCTCAGAGAAGACTGACTGCAACATGCGTCTTTGTAAAGAGAGAAACGGACAGAAAAAGTCTCTAACTCTGCCTGTCAGCTCGCTCTGCTCCGTTAAAACTGAATTTACCATACAGAATTGAATACGAGTGCACTCCAGATTTAGCTGCAGCCAGCTGACCGTGTGCTTCTCCCTATACCGCAGTTCTGTGTCCATGCATGCAGCAAACTGAAAGCACTGTCTGTCGGAGCGTCTACGTGAAAAGAGAAGGAAGACATGGCTGGTAGTATTGTCTTCAGAGTTGTTAAACACCTCAGCGCACTGAAGGAAGCCATCTGACTGTGTGAGGGGCAAGATCGTTGATGTCTGCAGGCAGAGTAGGAGCTCTCCTGTCTGACTGGTCCACCAATAGCAGAGAAGATGACCCCTTGAGTTATCAAGCACGTAAAGTTTGGTTCAGATGTGAGCATGTACATGTAAGTTACAACAACTTCCTGTGTCATGGTGAAGACTTGATCTCTGACGCCACGCCACAGACACACCCATTGACGAAAACTCGCAAATAGCACAACTTTTCATCTTCAATGCCTTTAGAAGGCACAGCAGAAATTTGAGGTCGGTCGGACTAAATCCCTAGGAGGAGTTCGTTAAAGTACGAAGTGTGTAAATCATCCAAAATTTGACGTAAAATTCAAATGGCCGACTTCCTGTTGGGTTTAGGCTATGGCTCCAAGAGACTTTTTTGTGCGTCTGGACAAGATACACGTACCACAGAAAATTCGTGCACGTAGGTGAAACATGCGGCGGGGGCTGCTTCGTTAAAGGTCACTTTCTGTTGCCAGCAGGTGGCGCTATGACTGTGGGTGAATGTCGGCATGTACATGTGTTCAGGGCGGGACTCTCATCCTACACGTACAGTTTGGTGCAGATGTGAGCATGTACACTGAAGTTACGACAACTTCCTCTTTCATTGCGAATCATCGACGCCACGGACACGCCCATTGACGAAAACTCGCAAATAGCACAACTTTTCATCGTCAATGCCTTTAGAAGGCACAGCAGAAATTTGACGTCGGTCGGACTAAATCCCTAGGAGGAGTTTGTTAAAGTACGAAGTGTGTAAATCATCCAAAAATGGCCGTAAAATTCAAAATGGCCGACTTCCTGTTGACTTTAGGCTATGGGTTCTTGAGGCTTTTTTGTGCGTCTTGATATGATACATGTCCCCAGAAAATTTCGTACATGTAGGTTGAACGTGAACGAGGGGCTAATCTTTTCCAATTTTCTAGGTGGCGCTAGCGAGTCATTTTGCCACGCCCATGTGCGAAACTTGTAGAATACAAAATTTTTCACCGGTTCTGACATGTTTGTCAGTTGAGCCTACTTTGCAGAAAAAATAAATAAATAAATAAATAAATTAATAATCTGAGCAAATTCAATAGCGACCTCGCACGGTCATGCTCGGGCCCTAAATATCTCAGATCTCCAATGCTAGCTGGCAGTACAAACTAGAACTCATGTTTCTGACTGAACAAGAGAAAGTAGGGAAGTGGTAGCTTTGTAAGAGGGAATGAAAGAAAAGAGGAGGCATTACAGCTGTTCATTTGTTAAGATGTGTCGAGCGTTTATCATAAATTGGACTTCCAACACTTCAACCTACACTTTATTTCATTATTTCAAAAAAATTAGGCACTTTACATAGTTTAAAATATATTATTAGAATAGTTAGTATTTATTATCCCTCCGGTTTGATATGAAACTGAATATTGTTGAAATATTGTCAGTTGTTGACTAAAAACATACAGTATATGTTGATACAACTATACGTTATGGGCCGCCCTAAATGAAGTTAGTTGTTATGATGTTCCGGACCTTTGCTTCAGGAAATTTTCTCTAACTGGACATTTTTGAATTCTAATTGAATACCCCTGCTCTACAGTATTTAAAGGGGTGAGGCTTTCTGTGGATAGGGCATTGGCTACCAACATCTGGCCTAGGGCTGGGAGTCTCTGTGGTGTCAGAGTCAGAAGCAGAAGAGACCTCTGTCTTGTGCGAGGAGATATAGTTTCTGGAGCTACTCATCTCTACTGCGTTGTCTGCCTTTATTGTTTTAGCAGCTGAAGAGGACAGAGAGAAACTTGGGTCATTACGGATGTAAGCCTCTCTGCAGAAGAGGTCAGTAAAGTAGGCAAATGGTGGAAAATGCACCTTGCAGTGTAGCTTGTAAGTACTCCCGTGAGAGATTCATTTTTCTTGGAGGCTAAATGGCAACTTACAATAGGGTTCAGGCCTCTAGCGGTTTCTAGGTAAGTCAGCCCAGGTAGGTTGCCCTCCTGATACTAGCTACTGTAGCAGGTCAACCATCTCTCTGTGCTTCTGAGGATACTTATTGGTGATCTGTGGAAATCTCTCCACTCTGTCAAAGAGCGCCTTCTCAATCATCTATGGCGACCCATAACATTCCTGAAGACACGTCCATGCCATTTTCAGGCCGAGGGCTGGGTCGTTGACATTGGTGGCTCAAATCCTCTTGACATGTGCTGAAGACTGTGGGCCTAACCACTTAATTAGGAGATCAAGCTTCTCACCACAGGACAGTTCCGTTACTTCAATGGAGTTTAGGAAGCTTGACTTCCATGCCCAGCAGCCTTCAGGACGATTGTCACATTTGATGAGGCTGGAGCTCTGCAGTTCACGTCGAGCGAGGAATCTCTCGATGTCACAGAACACAAGGCCGGCAGAGAGAGGATGAGGGGCCTGTTTGTGGAGAGACGAGAGAGGTGGCTGATGTGAACTCGTGGGGTAGGAGCCGTGAGGGTTAACATCAGGATGTGGCTTTGCTTGCTGACTGGTTGGGATATGTGATTTAGTCCCATTAAGTCTGGAACGGCACTGTTGAAGGGAACAGGATGCCATTGCCGAGGCTGGTCGATGGGTGTAGGCTCAGAGGCTGCTCAAGAATGACACTCAACGTACTCGCTGGTTCTTTCTTGTGGGGATTGGAGTGGAAGAGCAACAATGTTTTGAGGCTCTGGAGCCTCTCTCCAATCCTGCTGCAGACTTGAGAGCCTCAGCCTCTGCTACTGCTGCTGCAGCAATCTATTTTTCTAGCTTTAGCGTAGCGAGAGCAGCGTCCATCTGAGGTTTTTCTAATAATAGATGGTTTTCTTTCTGAACGAAGGCTGTGCAGGCACGTGCATCGAACAATTTATCCCGTGCTTTAGCTAAGCTAGAAGGCGACTCTTTTGTGCTTAAGCCAGAGACACCAGCTACTGACGTGGTAACAAAAAATCATCTGCTGGTGCAGCAATCTGCTGTTAAGTAATAAATTGTTGTCCATCTTGTGGCTTGAACAACTGGAAAGGCTAATGGAGAGTCCTGTCATGAAGTTGGCTGATGTGTTGAACCTGCTGTGATGCAGCATTCTGGCATGTAGCGTTTATTGAGGCACACATCACCACATAGCTAAAGACTGTTGATTAACTTGACGGAAAGTAGCACTAGATGGCTTCAATGACAAAGGAGCTTAAAGTTGGTTATCAAAGTGCACTTGTACGTCCATTTATTGAAGACACAGCACACAATGTGGACAAGTTGTTGAAGTGTGAAACTGTAAATAATGCAAAAGTGACTATGAAATATGATCAAAAAGTGGTGGGGCATCGAGTACAGGAGACAGGCAGGATGTCCTAAACCAATGAGCATTAACATTAAACATTAATTAGTGAAACAGCTGGACGATGTTCTGTGGCTGCAGTAACGACCTCACATCAGCACATACAGATATTTGTTCTTCTTTTTTTATTTGATTAAATAAAAGTTAAACGTTAACAAATGTAGTGGAATGATGATAGAAAGTGAAAGACAGCAGTTTGTGATTTGATATGATTGTGGGTAAATTATAGGTACACTGTGTTTGTGTGAACTTCACCTCACAGCTTTAGTGATGTCACTGAACAATGTTAGGTAGATATTAAAAACCTGCTCCCTTTAATAACCTGATCTCTCAAACAGGTTTCACTCTGAAGAATGGAAGGGCTCAACATTACCAGCAGCTCACAGAACCAAAGCTACGATTACAGCAACACCACCTCCAAATACCACATTGACCCTGTAGAAGTGGTGACATGCATAATCATTGCTGTCGGCCTTCCTCTGACCCTGGTGGCCATCTATTCTCTTTATTCTATGGTATGTACATTCTGACATTCTGAGAGTTATGGGTCCAAGGCTGAATGGGGCTGGGAACCCGCGAATGCAAGGCATTGCGGTTCCCAGTACCAGCGGAGCTGGGATCCCTATTGTAATCGCTCAGATTTTTATTACTTTCATTCTTCCGTGAATTTTTGCCTAATTCCACTACTGCAGCCCAGACGGTAAGGGCTAGGGATGCGAAACTCACAGGGTAGGTTCAGGACCATGAGACAACGGCATGTGAAAAAATTTGCCGACTTCAACCACTAGGGGGCGCTACAAGCAAGGTCCAAAGTTTGGCACATTCAAATCGCTTTAACTCCCGCATAGAGTGGCGGATATCAAAAATATATCCACGCGTTTGAAGGATCGAGCTGAATCTCGTGGTAAATGCCACGCCCATTTCTGACTAGACTTTTTTTTTTGACTACATGGCGAAAACTGAAAACCCTATTTTAATTAATTAACGCTTCATATCTGTGGCTGAAAAACTGCTGCAGAAGCTGCAGGAAATCTGGCCCTTAGTCTTGTTCCTGCAGTGATTGGCCAGTGGGTCATATCTGAGATTTCTGTTGGATGAAAAGTCAGAAATGGCTCTGACTGCAGCTGCTGGGCAGAGCAAGATGACAGATTTGGGAGGAGGTGGACTTCACAACATGTTTCCAACTGCTTGTTGACTTTTACCAATGTTTTCCTGCAGGTGAGAAGAGATCATGTTGCTCCCATCTACCTCATCAACCTTCTCATTACTGACCTGATTCAGCTCTGCAGCATGATCGTTTGGGTGGCACATCCTGAGGATTTGAGGATATTCTTCATCTTCTTATATATTTACCACTCTTCTCTGATTGCCAGTGTTTACTTCATGGTCTGCATCTCCCTGGAAAGGTATCTATCTGTCTATCCAGTATGTGTGGAGCTCCTTCTGTGTCTGAACATTATATTAGTTTATAACTCTGAAGCTCCTCAAAGACTTTGTGTCCATCTTGTATTACAGGTATTTGGTCATCGCCCACCGCTTCAGAAGAACCATCAAGACCTCTGTGGTGGTATGTGTCCTGGTCTGGGTCCTTCCACTTCTCTTTTTTTAATTTGTTGGCTTTATGGTGTGACTCTACACATATTCTTCACTGTCCTCCTCGTCCTCTTCCTCCTTCCCTTCCCTCTGTTAATATTCTCCCTGGTTGGGACCCTCAAAGCCCTGTCTGCTTCCATCTCGGTCCCCTCTGATGAAAAACGACGAATTGTGGGAATTTTGGTTCTGGTGCTGCTTATTTACACTCTGCTGTTCCTGCCCAGCATCATTTTGTTATTGGGAGGATATCACTGGACCCTAGAACTCCTGTATCTCATCTTTGTCAGGTTGAGTCCTCTTGCAGACTTGTTCCTGTATGTCTTCATGAGGAAAGGGTTCATAGACAAGCTTTTGGCCTCTGTGTGTTGCTGCAGAATGGACAGCAATGATATCAGCAGTCCATCAGTATGAATGATGACAACATTTCCACAGTCAGCTTCATGTAGGCAGAGAAAGAGGGAGAGAGAGAAAGGGGAGGAAACAGGAGGAGAAATGGAGGCCAATAGAAAGGATAGAGACGAGACAGATCCTGTCATCTACTGAGACCATTTCCAATAAGACACCTAACTGTAGAGAACAGGAAGCACTGTTTGGACTCTGCTGTGGGAGAAGTGGCTGCTGGGAAATGTTTTGGTCAACTTGCTCTGGTTCACTGTGATGGCTTCAACACATGGAAATAAAATGTGTTTTATTAGTTTGGAGCTGGAAGTTGATGTCTGTCATTATTCTCCTTTAATCCCAGAAGCAAAGCAGATATTATTTTAGATGAACTGAGCTCATTCTAGCCGCCTCGCTGTCTTCTTCCTAAATCTTTATTTGGACTGTTGTTTGGATGTTTAACACAGGGAGAGAATCTCAACACGTCTTTAGCACTTTGTACTTTTTAAGTGTAATTTCTGCTGTTTTAGTGGTAGGCATGCTGCTGTTTAGGATGGGATTCAGAGCAGCTGTTTTGCAGCAGCTGTTGTGTTTTTGGCAATCTGGAGAAAATCTTAAACCACAGTTTATATGAAATTGTACTTTTTCTGGAAATCCAATAAAAATCAGTTTGTAGACCAAACTGTGAATGTTTGTCTTTGAGCAACTCAGTGAATTAAAAGCTGACAAATGAAGGTTCAACAAAATCTCTGCTGGTTGACAAATCTCTATTGTCTATATGAACATAAAGCCCAACCTGCTGTTACCAGGGAGGCATCCTGCACTTTCTGACCAAATGACCATAATATTTCCCTCTTTGGCCCATTGGAACTTGTCAGGACCAAACGTCTTTAATCCGTGTTAATAAGTCTTTGGGCTGAGAGTGCGGTCAGTACCACAAACACTATCTTTATTTCTCAAAACACAATAATCTTACTGCAGTAGTTCAGAGAGAATATTACAGATGAAATCAACAAGACATTCCTCCACTTTGACTGAGCCTGTGGGACTTTCAGCAGGACATCAGTGAGCTGTTTTACTGCTCGGACTGCTGCTATATTTCCTGTAAACCACCAGATGGCAGTGTGCCGGCTGAGTTCGCTGCCCACAAGCTTCAAATCTTTTCTCAGCACAAACCAGAGGAAAGCCCACAAGCTGCATGAAGCTCTGCTCAGCCCACACTGGTTCTGATGGTCCAGGTCAGTCTGCTTTAGCTAGTTACTATAAAACAAAGAAGAAAAAGGCCCATAAACAGCTGTAGAACCTGGAGACAATAGTATAGTAAAATACTTTTGTGAATACCTGATCTCGACGGAAACTGTTTCTCCCATCCCATAATCCTGTCCCTGTCCTGCCATCACTGGCTTGGTTTAAAAAGACATATTGTAGGTTATGTTTCCTGCAGGGTGTCTGCGGGGTCTTAAAATTTTGTTGGTTTTAAGGGCTAAGACCCACAGACTCCCTGGACGCTTCGGCACGTGCCCGGCGTGCCCCTCCCGGCAACGCCCTAAGAATCGACCAGCGCAACAAAGTCTTTGTTTTGCTTGAAGCTACACATGCGAAGTGCCGCGACATCGATTTATCCCTCATTTCCAGCAACTTTACTTGTTTTATTTTCTCTCTTTTGTTTTGTTAAAAGTTATTGTCAAGTGTTTCTTTTAACTGCGAGGTGTCCACACTTGACAAGGACCAGACTTCGGATTTCACTCAGAATAATTTATTTGAATAATTGAACAGGAGTTGAACAGTATAGGTGAAAAACCTTTAAACACAGAAATAAGAAGCATTTTGAATAAACAGGTATTTCCACAGTAAACACAAGTCAAGGTAAATATTTCAAAAACGGTAAGTATATTTAAATTCAATATTATTCTTCACATTTCACCAAACTAATTATGCATTTTAATTAATTTTAACAAACAATTTTGGCTTACTATTTAAGCATTCTTTTACACAAATTAGGTAGAAAACCCACACATTTTAACCATATATATCCATGCATTTGAACATAGTTTCTCCCTCTCTTCAACCATGCAGTGACAACTTTAACTCACCCATATTAACACCTAAACAGAAAAAGATGCCCGTCAAATCAAAAGTCTCATTCCCCGCAGTGGATGTGTGCTGCTCATTCCGTCGTGTCAGTCCCTTTCCACCAGCCAAATGACTGCGTTATATGCTCCCGCTGATTGAAGTGTGTGCGAGCTTCTGATTGCTCAATCTAATTCACCTGGTCGAGGGTGCGCCAGGGCGCGCACGCACGGTCACACGCGGCTGCCGATGCAGAGCGGGGCGGCACGCAGGTGAGACGGCATGCAGGAGGAGGCGGGCACACGGGAGACAGGCGCACCTCTGCCAGATCAGCGCGACACCTCCCACTCGATCTTTACGTGGCGGCGCCCGGAAAGATCGTACTCTCAGGTGGGCTGGTCTCTGACTTGATCCTCCCATGGTATGAGGACCACAAGGCGCCGGACGTCCCGATGCAGTATGGTACTTGATCCAGGATCTGCGGCACCAGGTCTTGAGCTTCTCACAGAGATGCTGGAACTTGGGGAGACTCTCACATGAACATCTCGAACGACACCTCTGAAATCAGGATTTGCGCCGATGACTCTTGCAAGCCTGAACTGCCCTCTCAGTGCATTTTGGTCGCAGAGCCAAACTATGTCTCCAATGGTAACGTTCCTTTCAGCAGTATGCCACTTACTGCGAATGAACAGGTTCGGGCCAGCAAGTTGGCTCCAGGACTTCCAGAAGTTGTTTACTATCGTTTGCACTTCTTTGAGCCTCTTGAATGGGTAGGTGGTGTAGTCGACAGTTTTGAAGTCTCCACTTTGTGTAGCTCGACCAAGCAATAAGTTGTTCGGCGTGATGTACTGGATGCGCTCTTCTCGGCTTTGGACTCTGGCGTCAATGGGTCTCTCATTGGCAAGATTAGCAGCTAGCTGGAGCACTGTCAGGAACTCACTGAAGGTAAGACCTTCTACATTGCCAAGGCTTTGGAGGGCTCTCTTGGTGACTCTGACAGCAGCTTCGGCGGCTCCGTTTCGGTGAGGTGAATCGGCCGGGAGGATTTTCCACATCCAGGTCGTCTCATTTTTGGCAGCGTACTCTTCAAGTGACTCTTTGCTCTGTTGATTCAGGTAAGTGTACATCTCTTCTAGGACAGGTCTCGCTCCGACAAAGTTCGTACCAGGATCAGACCAGATTTTACGGGGATGGCCTCGGACAGCGGTGAATCTCTGGTAGGTAAGCAGGAAGCTCTCTGTTGATAGTGTGTTTGCCAGCGACATGAATGGCTCGGCTGGACATACAGCAAAACACGACTCCCCATACTTTCATGGTCACTCTCTTTTGACATCATCCTTCACATGGTAAGGTCCAAACAGGTCAACGGACGTAAACTCGAATGGTGCAGCAGGACTAGACCTCTCATCAGGTAAGTTTCCCATTATTTGCTTGCAGGTTCTTGCTTTTGCTTTCTTGCAGACGATACACTTGTCAACGACTTTTTGGGCAATGACCCTTCCTCTGATGACCCACGCCTTTATCCTCATCCGCAGCAGGGTTCCCGCCACACCTTCATGTCCCTTACTGTGTGCTTCTCTGGCTAGCAGGGTAGATAACCAGGCTTGGAAAGGTAGGAGGGGAACAGCTCTGCGGTCTTCTTTGAAGGTCTGGATTCTCCCACCACAAACTAGAAGTCCACTTGTCTGGTCTCTGTAGATGACTAATCTGTCTGTTGCGGTGCCTGGGAAGTTGACGCCCTCTTGTGCTGCTAGGCAAAGGTCTCGAAACACGTCCCGTCTCTCTCTGACTGTAAGGATACCCGAGGATGGTACTGCCTCCCACTTTTCTTGGTCTCTGGTTTCGGCACTTAAGAACTTTTTAGCTGCTCTCCAGATCCAAGCCACAGTCCCAATCAGCCTTCTCAGGTTGCTGAAGCGCTTTCCATCGACTAGATGCCGGACTGCTGCTCCTGCTGGTGGTCTTTCATACTCTAGCTGGGCTGGATTTTGTGCCGTTTTCAGGCGACATCTGGAGAGTAGTGCTACGAATGTTTTTTTCTGGATCCTTGTGACTTTGTCTCGAGCTTGGGCTGCGACGTCTCTGGCGGATTTCTTTGGCCACTCATCGTCAGGAAGTTGGAGGAACTTTGGACCCGACTGCCACTCGGAGTCCTCAGTTAGGGCATCTGGACTGGCCCCTCTAGTGATGATATCTGCGATGTTTGCTGGCCCTGGAATCCACCACCAGTCTTGGACGTCGGTACTGCTCTGGATCTCACCAACGCGATTTGCGAAGAAAGTCTGGTAGCCATAACTCTCACGCTGTATTGCACCCAGGACTGTTTGACTGTCGACAAGATGATACCATTTCTTGACCTGGAGTCGGCAGTGTCTCTGGAAGTAGGTCTTGAGGCGGGCTGCGAAGACTGCTCCGCATATCTCAGCTTTTACAGGATCCCCTTTGTGGTCAAGGGGGGTCAGCTTGGATTTGGATTCGACCAGTCTCACAACGACACCACGGCTGCAACTCCAGCGAAGATACATCACTGCGCCATATGCGTGTTGGCTGCCATCAGAGAATGTGATTGCACTGGGCTCTGCGCAGAGATCTGGTGGAGTCAGGGATCTGGTGAAACGAAGTTGGCTCAGGTCAGCATATTCTTCCAATAGCTTTATAGCGTCTTCTCTGAGACCTTCAGACAAAGCAGCATCCCACGAGTCTTCTAGCCAGTATTTTACCTTGGCTTCTTGAAAAGCTCTCCTGACCAGGATGGCACCCTTTTGTTTGACAGGAGTCACAAGGCCGAGTGGGTCATACAGGCTAGAAACCTGGCTTAGCAGCTCTCGTCTGGTGAGTGGATCAGGTGTTTGATTTCTGACCTCCTGTCTGAGCAGGTTTTGACCAAGGCGCATCTTTCTCCTTTTCTTTGAGAAGTTAACTGCAACCATGACATGGAGTTTGTCGTCATTGATGGTGTAACCAAGGCCAAGGGCTTTGTTGTCGTCTTTTGTCAGCTGGTTTGGTAGGATCATAGTCTTTGGTATCTCATCCTTGGGTTCTTTCCTCCCACCTTGAATGGAGTAAACCCAGGGCTTTATGTGGAATCCTCCAGCTTTCAGGATGTGTTTGATGTTGGCTGTGAGGCATTTCAGATGGTCAAGGTGTTATGTGAAGTCAGGATGTCGTCGACGTATACATCTTCTCCCAGCACGCGTCTCTCTTCCTTGAAGTGACTGAATGAAGGTAAGTTCGCAGTTTCTCGCATGGCGACTTGGGCTATGCAACCGGCAGGTTTGTCTCCGATGTTGACTCTTGTTATGGCAAAATCTTCTATTTCGGCATCTTCACTGTCACGCCACAGGAATCTGTGCAGGTGGACCTCTCGATCTTCCAGCCAGACAGAGTTGTACATCTTCCGGATGTCTCCAAGGGCAGCGTAGACACCAGTTCGGAACCTCAATAAGACAGCTCGGATTGGGTTCAGGACATCAGGACCTTTGATGAGGATGTCGTTCAGACTGAGACCTCTGCACTTTTGGCTGCTGTTCCACACTAGTCTGACTGGGGTGGAGACTGAGTGTGGGTTTAGTGCAATGAGATGACTTATGTACCACACTGGCCCGGTCCAACTCTGCAGAATGTCTTTGGACAGCTTCATTGCGGCCCTGCGGTTCACCATCTCATGGATCTGTGCAGCGTAGGCCGCCTTCCACTCAGGTTCTTTTGATAGCTGCTTCTCAGTTCTGAGGAATGTTGCCTCTACTGCTTTCCTGTTGTTTGGCAGGGTTGCTGGATCTTCTGTCCACGGATACTTAGCATGCCAGTGTGGTTCGGTGCTGTGTACATCTCCAGTCGTGTATGTCAAACCATTTCTTATGATCTCCATCTCCCTTTCTTCTGCAAGAGTTATCTCCTTTCCCCCTGGCTGGCAGTTCCCGCAGCGACACCCTCCACATCTCGGCTGACAGGCGGCTCCGATGCTCTCCCACCTCCACCACTTCAGAAAGTCTTTGCTGCTGGTGGCTGTGTTAGACTGGGTCTCGGGGTGGTCGGGATACTGGCAGGAAATTGGGTCTGTCTTGAATTCGAGATATTTGACTGCTGAAGTTCTCATTGATCTGGCGAAGTGAGTCTTGGACGAATGGGCCATCAGGGTGACTTCCTCAAAGAGGTCTGGATGCATGCCCCCGACTGTCTTGCCTAGTGGACCCTCCCAGAGCACCAGGTCACCAATTGAACGGATTTTTTGGGGCACCAGCTGGCCTTCTTTGTGGCTGATCAGAAGCTGGATTTCTCTGGGTCTGATGAAGTCTTTGAGGGGAACATCAGGAAAGATTTTCTGCAGCTTGTCAGGTTGAACATGTCGGTGCACCTCTGCAATTTTGTCAAGTCCGTAGCAGATCAGTTGGTGAGACTTCAGAGTTCCTTTTGGAGTCCTGACTCTGATCTTGAGGAGGTAGCGCTTTGTAGCGACAGATACTTTCATCCCTCCGACGCCATGGACGACTAGTGCGACATCTTCACTGCGAAGGTTCAGCTTGCTTGCAGCTCTGTGGGTTATGTAATTTGTGTCAGACGCCAGGTCAATAAGTGTTCCGATTCTTTGCCCGTCATTGGCAGTGACGTTAAGGAGCATCAGGATCACAGGGTACTCGTGCAGACCAGTCTCCTCCAGAAGGCCTCTCTCTCCTCTCTCTGCTGCAGTGGAGTTGTATGCTCGAGATGCGATGTTGCAGAAAGCATTGCGACACTGCTGCGCTAGCTCAGGTGAAAGTTTGGAAAGAAACTCTTCCTGGGCCTCGGTGTAATTTTTCCCCTCAGCTCTCACCGGACCAAACTTGGGTCTTTGGGACAGCTGTCTGGGTAAGGGACAGAGAAGGTAGTGGTGTTGGTCTCTGCACTCTGGATTCCCACACAGGTAAGTAGTTTTTCTGCAGGGTTCATTGTGGATTTCGAGGCACCTCTTGCAGGCTCCGAGCTGTTGCACTGCGTCCCTCTTTTCCTGGAGCTTTGTGGTGGTTCTAAACCTCCTGCAGATGTAGAGCTTTCTTTTGTGTTTTGGATCTCCGCAGATGATGCAGCCTCCTAATTCACTGCTGGATTTAGTTGTCCTTGTTCGGGCATACTTTGTTTGAAACCTGGTCTTCTCCTTGGCAGGGTCGATGTCTCTCAGCTGTTCTAACTGCTCGTAGATAGACTCTTGGGATTGGAGGTATGCCAGTAGCTTGTCAAAGCGGTTCTGGTGGCTTACAGCATTTCTTGGGTCAGCAGCGTGGGTAAGCCAGTCTTTCTTCAGGGACTCTGGCAGCTTGCTCTCGATGGATTTTATTACTAGTGGGTTTTTTATGGCATCTGCATTGCTCAGTTCATTTAAATCATAGAGGGCCTTTTCCACTGCTTGGATGAGCTCTACGATTCTTCTTGGGTGGTTACCACGAACAGGTGGGATAGCTTGTAGCTCCTCGACAATCTCAATAGCGATGGTGGCTTGGTTTCCGTAGCGGTTCTCTAGGACTCTGAAGATCTCGTCTGCTGAGGTGTAAGTAGAGAGCCGTAGATCCTTGGCCACTCTTTCGTCGAGGCTATCAAGTAGTTGAAATTTCTTCACCTCTTTGGATCCGGTTGGTTCACCTTGCTTCTGTAGAGCCTCCCATTCTTTCCTCCATCTGTAATACTCACGCTGGCTGCCGGTAAACTTTGGTAAAGCTGTGGCTTTTAGCTTTATGGCTGCAACAGGGGCTGCGCTGTGGGCTGTGACAGGTACTCTGTTGCTGTCCTCTTTAATACTTGCTGCTCCAATCAGGGCGGCCTTCCTCGACACCAGCTTGGGAAGGAGGGTTTCGAGCTCCGTTAGCCGACGATTGAAATCTTGCTTCTCGGCTCGTGGAGCCCAGCGGTTCCAGGTCTGGTGCGCTTCTTTGGCTTTGTGCACCAGGCTCTCTAAATGGCGGAGCATAAAGTCATATGCCTCCAGGGGTGTGTCAGGCTGAGTGGAGGAGACGTTCTCGCACTCTGCCTCTGCAGCTTTTAGAGCAAGGGTCAGTTCTCTTTCACCACATGAGGCCCATAATGTCTCCTGGACAAGGTGCTTTACCTCTTTTAACTTCTGCTCACACTCTTTCTCCGTCTTCTCTATGTCAGCTCTCTGTTGGTCGCTTAACTCAGGTGCGCCCTCTGCTTCGGTTCCTTTGCCCTGTGCAATGTAAGCAGCCTCAAGCTCCTCATTTGCATCCATCACTTTAGCGCCCTCTGCTGTGAGTCTTTTGAAGTTATCTTGCAGCTCCTCCACAGACATCTCCATGTGGGTCCTCGTTATATGGTTGGTGAGTCGGGAAAAAAGTCTCTTTACTGTAGTTCGCTCTGTTTTCAGCTCTTCGAGTGACTTGGACTCGGCCATGTTGCCTTTTTTGGCTGTTGGACTGACAGGTGAACGGCAGGTAGTTGATTTCCTCCAGGCCCCCAGGTGGAGTCTTCTCCCTCTTTGTGGTGGGCTCTTGTGGAGTCTTCACTTGTCACGGCCGGTTTCCTACCGTCAGGCCGGTTTTTCACTGTCAAGTGTTTCTTTTAACTGCGAGGTGTCCACACTTGACAAGGACCAGACTTCGGATTTCACTCAGAATAATTTATTTGAATAATTGAACAGGAGTTGAACAGTATAGGTGAAAAACCTTTAAACACAGAAATAAGAAGCATTTTGAATAAACAGGTATTTCCACAGTAAACACAAGTCAAGGTAAATATTTCAAAAACGGTAAGTATATTTAAATTCAATATTATTCTTCACATTTCACCAAACTAATTATGCATTTTAATTAATTTTTAACAAACAATTTTGGCTTACTATTTAAGCATTCTTTTACACAAATTAGGTAGAAAACCCACACATTTTAACCATATATATCCATGCATTTGAACATAGTTTCTCCCTCTCTTCAACCATGCAGTGACAACTTTAACTCACCCATATTAACACCTAAACAGAAAAGATTTAAACAACATTCAAGTGAGCTTACCGATAGCCCGTCAAATCAAAAGTCTCATTCCCCGCAGTGGATGTGTGCTGCTCATTCCGTCGTGTCAGTCCCTTTCCACCAGCCAAATGACTGCGTTATATGCTCCCGCTGATTGAAGTGTGTGCGAGCTTCTGATTGCTCAATCTAATTCACCTGGTCGAGGGTGCGCCAGGGCGCGCACGCACGGTCACACGCGGCTGCCGATGCAGAGCGGGGCGGCACGCAGGTGAGACGGCATGCAGGAGGAGGCGGGCACACGGGAGACAGGCGCACCTCTGCCAGATCAGCGCGACAGTTATCAGTCCGTTAAGTTACACTGATCTAATTCAGGAACGACCAAGTTCCCTTTTAAGCTTTTTCGTCGAGCTAACTTCACCGAGGTAAGACCAGCCACGTGGACTCGCCAGTGGCAACGAAGGACACCTGAAAACAGCTGAATTGCCAGACGGAGGACGGCCAACCCTTGAGGTTTTTCTTCAATCAGACACAGAGAACCTTGGAGAATGCCCTAGCAAAAAGCCAGGATCGGGCAGCTAGTGTGGGACACGTGCAACAGGCCAAAGCAGGCCGCTGACAAGCAGTAAGACCAAACAAAGCATTCTGTGATCAGGGATGTCAAATAGTGTTAATATTGTCTTTTTAACTCCTAAACTCATAGCTTACTATCATTAGTCTCCTCTGCCGTATGAGTCAAATGCTTCCCACAATCGAACCTCCATTCTCATTGTTTAGCCATTGTTTATTTCTCTGATGTACCAGCTTTTTATAATCACCTTAGTCAATAAATTCACTGTAACCAAGGAATTGTGTGTATTGCCTACTTCTGAGTCCCTGCCAAGAGAATTGACCCTTTAGATATGAGACTGACTGATTTGATTTAAGATAACTGAGCGATTATTAACTAACTGATCACTGGTTAGTAATAGTATAATTATTAAAAGCTACCTAGAGGTCCGGAGACTCAAGGTTAATAACAACTCCGGTGGTTCCCCTTTCGAAACGAGAGCTTTTCATGGATTGATGTTTTCTGAATATTAAAATTCATAATTGGGTATTAATTCTCATAAATTTATTAAAATTAATAGCTAGTTTTAGACATGCCACATTTAGGAAGAGGTGGATCATGTTGCTCCCGACTACCTTATCAACCTTCTCATTACTGACCTGATTCAGTTCTGCTGCATGATTGTTCATATGGCGCGACCTGAGAATGTGAAGATCTCTCTCATCTTCTCTGTAATTTACATCTTTGCTCTGATTGCCAGTATTTACTTCATGGTCTGCATCGCCCTGGGAAGTGTCGGATCGGAAATAAGGACCGGCCGGGCCAGTGGAAGGCCTGGTCCCTACCCTAACCAACGTATTAAACTCAATAAAATTACTCTATTAGATTTCTTCTTTAGTCAAAAACTGTATAGTCAAAGACTTCACTGGAGATGGTCAAGAGTCGGTGCAAAAGAGTTTATTCCAATAAAGGACAGATAAACCCGAGTAACATCCCTGCAGGTCTCAGGATGGAACTGAGCTGGTGGTCAGCGAACATCGCCTTATATTCACCTTAAGCTCCACCTTCTCTCCTCCTCCCAGGTGGGCGTTACACCTTAACTCCACCTACATTGTTCACTGACCACTCCTCTCCTTTGGTGAATTTCTTATCCTCTGCTGCCATCTAATGGTCGTTTTCTCGTACTGTTTTACCAAATTAACCCTTTTACTAATGTCACAATTTCCACCTTTTAGCTATTTTTATGCATACCTATTATTACAATTTATCCTTCTTTATATTTTTGACATTACTGGACTAGAAATTCACCAATATGTTTCAACTTCAGTCCCACCGTATTTTTTAAAAGTTATACAGGCATAGTTTGACACCATTAAAACTCAAACACTTACAATTGTATTTTTTTAAAGAATTAATAAGGAATAACATATTTGATACATGCATAACATGATTCAATATAGAAGTACATGATTCAAACTTTACACTGAAAGAACAACAACAGTGGTCAACAGCTTTAGCCTGCGAAAGATGAAACATGTCTTTCTAAATATAACGGAGAAGCTTGTGGTGGTTTAATTTAAACCCAGGTCTCTCACACAAAAGGCATGTGTCTTAGAAACTGAGCCGTCACCAACCACCTTCAGGCTGATGTTGTGGTTTGGGGTTTTTGGGATTGTGTTTCTTGTTTCCTGTGTTATTTTGTAGCTCGTCTTCCCCTTGTGTCATTGTCTTGTTTTACTTCCTGTGTCTGTGCTCACTGGTTGTCTGATGTGCATCACATGAGCCTCGTTGTCGTCACCCAGCGTTTTGTGGATTTATATTCTTTCTTACAGATTTAAGGACTACCACCTGGAGTGCTGGGTTGGTGGGACAGAAGGAGGATGGAGGAAGGCAATTCATGACGAGATCAGACACATTAGACAAGCAAGATTTCTGAGTAAAGGCAAGATGTTGATTGGAGCAGTCAATAGAGTACAACAGCAACAGAAGTGCCATTTAAAAGTCCTGTTCCTGGGGCTAATCGTAAGGTTAGAGGAGTGATTAGTGGAGTTCATTTAGATATTGGTTTTGAAGAAATTAAGAAAGAAGTTAAAGGAGATAGAGTCACGGCAGTGAAAC